ATGAACTCATTAAAACACTATAAAAACTTCACAAAACTCAAAACACTGTGTTGCAAATACTCGTCCACTGAAGCGCGCTTAAATCGTTATAAAGGACCTCGCACGTCACTAAATATCAGTTCAAAACAAAGATCTGGGCGCTTACATACATACAATTCAACATCACAAAAAGAAAACGGTAAAAACAATAGGAAAAGCAAGCAATACATTACATTACTGAGCAATAGGGTTAGGATTCTGGAAAAAAGTTCAACGTCCTTGAGTTACACAGTGTCAGTTACAGTGTCCAACGAGCGGTTCTCTAAGCAATACACAGATAGCTAAAGTTCTAATTCAAAGTCTATATAGCGTCTTCTTCTCTTGTCGTCGCGTTAGTCCGGGTCGTTCTTTCATCTTCTTCTTGTCTTTAATGTCGCTCAATTCTCAATTATACAGTCCTATCCGGTACTGGTCCTTCCGAAGGGGTTCTGAAATCTTCATCTCTTCAGCGTTGTACATCGGTGCCATACTGGTAACGGTGTTAGTCGTCGAGCGCGGTTTCGTCTCTGCCATCGAGCCAGTTAGTTCGGTTCGCAAGAAAGACACACCTTCGCCATTTCACTTCTCTTCACAGGATGTCAATGTGCGTAAGAGGCAATGCCCAGGGTTCTCACACCACGTATCAGGGGTAAAATCTCTTACTCTCGGGTTCTCCACACTGTCAGGGGGGAAACTCGTCTCGTCTCTATATCGTCCCCTTGAGGTACGGGATCGGGAATGTCACTTATACTTTACAGTCAAATAAGACACACACAACGAAATACGTTTCAGCTCTCGTCTTAGTCGGTCTTTTGGAGCACTCTATAAGACACAGCGCCCTGGGGAAAAGTCCCCAAGACTATATCGCAAGGCTGACCCAAGACTCTCTTAGACTGCGTCAAGGCTCGCCCCAAGTCTCTCCAGGACTTTCGACTGCCCAGGACTGCCCTCGACTGCGTCTATCGTGGAGTATTCGCCAAGACCAACTCAAACTCTCTTTATTCATTTTCAAAACTCTAACCAATTACAAAGCAGTAAAAAGACTCTAAGGCGTAAACTTCAATCATAAAGCCAATCAAACTAAGTACTGAATACGTCATATCTTTTGATTAATCGTTCACTACATTAATAACTATGAATGTCAGAATAGCGACGGTATCTTGTAATTAGTTCCAAACCACTGAGCCAAGTTCCGTCCAAAACTTCAAATAGACCTAAACGATGACAGACATAACACAGCAATTCGCTAATAATCAGTTAATTAAGTCGGTTAACAGATACGCGAAAACAAATTCATGACACAACCTCCAGGGAAGACGTGGTCATTGTGCAGGATATTTGCTTCCTCCTATGTGAAATGAGAGGATTTAGTGCACAGATAAGCATATTTTGGAATTATATTGTTTTTAGAAAACGACGAAAATATTTACAACTTAACATATTTTGGGTCTGTTCAATATTAATAATTGTATAAACCACAATTGTTTCGAGGTTTTGAGATTCATAATGTTATGGTTTTCTAATTGTATACAATGACCACTGGTAGGTGTGTGGATAATGCCACTGTGATAATTCGGAATCGAATGTATATAATATCATCGTTGCAAAATGTAGAATCACTAACAAACGCACATACTTGTGTAAACTCAGCTGACCAGCTAAGTCCATTTATAAAATAATTTGGATGCAATGAAGCCATTGTATAGCGTATCATTAATATTTATACGAAGTCACAGCCAATTGCAATGGCCCATTAAATTAACAATGCAAATTAGGATTTCATTTCCTTACATATTAATTGTGACTTTCTGAATTTTTTTAAATTTCCATATATAACATTGAATATTATTTAATGAATTATGTAATGTTTTATTTGTCTCCATTGAAGTAAAATGTAAAGTGTCTGAGTTTAACCATTTGGGTACTATTAGAACAAAGACTAATGAGACATCATGCATTAAATTATATTCTATTGCATCTATACAGAACAATAATACAGATAAATCGAGAGAAAGGAACTCAGAGAGAAAAGCATTCATGGCTGTTTTGTTGTCATCAAAAGCGACGAAAATAGCCATTGGAGTCGGGGTTGTAATAGTAGTTGTTATCGTCGTCATGGCCGTGGGTCTAGGCCTGGGACTTGGTAAGATCATAGTATTATATTACAACGTTATATCTGTAATCGTTCTGTTATACATGTTTAATAAATTAATTTTAACATTGATTGTTCGACATCAGGGGGAAATGGGGAGAAACGTCACTGTCCTTGCGAGCAGATATGTTACAAACATAGAAATTACTACACGTGTTCGTGTGAAGATGGTTATACATTAGAAACGGATGGAAAAAGTTGCGTTGTTTTGACCACCCCTGAAGAACCTTATTGTCTTTGCGAACAAATATGTGATTGGATTGGTGACAACTACACATGCTCGTGTTTGGACGGACATTCGTTGGACGACGATGAAATACATTGTGTGGGTAGGTACATTCGAAACAGTTAAATTTCTAATTGAAAGGTCGCCAATCTATTTTAAACATGAGGTACGTCTTGCTCCATAATATGTCATTGGCATTGAGATGGGGACTCGAGTCGCCACTTCACACATTTGAACCATTTTAGATGTATGCATTGAGTTAATGATTCAAGCATTCCGCATGGCGTCTTTGCTAAAAACGCCACCACACGACAGTACAAGCAATTTCACATTCAAATCTTACGCGAGTAATGGGATAAAGACACATTGAACAGAATATTAATAAATGCAAGATAACTAAGCTAAAAAAACGTATTGGACCAGCAATGAACATAAATCGAATTGACAGTACCGCTCGTAAAATTGTATGTGACTAAAACACATAACAAATTGTTAACCGGTTGCGCGAAGTCAATGATATTATAATGTCATGTCTACCAACCAGCACCAACCAATCAACTGTAGTTCAATTACATTTTTTTTAACAACCTGACGCCAACATTAACATGACACATAGAGTGCTTAATTAAATTTTCTGTTACTGTGCCAAGCAATTTCTTCGTATCAGCTCAAAAGGAAATGGATAGACAGGTATTCAGTCAGGGTTAATTCAATCATTCATATTATATTGCACGTCGTCGGCCTGAAAACACGGGATATGTATAGCTAGGCTTAGAGGCTTAGAGATTATACTATTTTTTGCGTGTTGCCATCCTGTTTAAAACACTGTTTCAATGTTAGTAACATCAATTGACGATACATTTACAAAGCCCAAAACGTTCAGCAAGAAATACTATAGTGTGCTACACTGTTGAATATATATAATCGCAATAACGTTCGATGTCGATTTCCCAATATGTATTATAATTTCACATGAGAAAATGTAACTGTGTAATGTTGTTTAATTATTAATGTAAGATGTTTAAAAATAACTATAAGGTGATATACAATTAGGTTTGTGATTTATGGCATATGCATTTATTTCAAGTAACATTGAAAATGTTCGCATTAGATGCAAAATTAGATATTTCAAAATTATTAGGAATGCTAGCAAACAATTCCCTCTTATTCCTCTTATTTCTCCGTATGCATTTACAAATGACATCGAATGTGTAATAAACAATGACAATGAAACAACGTTCACTTTACCATACACTAATTCCATTAAATTATTTAAGGTTAGTTTAACCACTACATACATAAGTATACACTGCAATATTACTAATCAGGGCTATTTAACTATTTTGCTTTGCAAATAACTTAATATTTTTAATAATTTAAATTCTTTAAATTCAAACGTCTTTCTGTGGGGGCTTAATTACAATTAAATTACCTTGCTTTTACAGATAATACTACTACCGAAATACCGCAATCGACAATGCAAAGCACGCTCACGACTCTCACACCACAGCCATATGTGATAACAACAGCAACCACACTGCCTCTCACAGTTGCATTATGGACTACTTTTTCGAAAACAACTACTCCTAAGACATCGAGTCTTGCTTCTGGTGGCACAGAATTAATGTCTACGATGACGCGGTTCGGTATCACTGGTGAATTCGTTACTACTAAGGAATTTGCCTCACCCGTGTCAGAACAATGGGGTAGTACAACAATCACCAGTAAGTTGCAAAACGTGTTTAGTGTACATGAAAGTTACACACTTACACACATCATCATGATAAATGACAAATAATTTATATCAGAACGGCGAGACAAGTTGCCGAGTCCTCCCTTCCATGTCATCCATGGGGAAAAGACATTTTTTTTTCATTTTGTAACTCAATATTCTCAGTGTAATTATTATTCTAGTAAATAACTAACCGAAGGTTGTAAGTCGCACGTTTACTTCAAGGCTTGCACGGACAACAATTCGTACAGCAAAGGCGATGTTGGATACGTACTACGCATGGCAATGTTTTCACTAAACATGTGACTAAACATTAAGCGACGCAAAAGCTCAATGAGTTGATCAAAATATAAGTGTTTCAGTACACAGAACAAATAAATATGGCGCCCAATTGCCATTATTTCAATATGCACATTTTACGTGAAAAGTCACAAGAAACGACTCGCACACATGTATAGTACATTTACACATAGTATAATACAGTACTAGTATTAGGGCTGTTAAACAATATTTCATTTGGAAATAGGAGCACATAGTGACATTTTCACCAGAACAAAATTCTTACAGAACTGAATGTTCACGTATGGCACCATATTCGCCACGTATATGCGTTCGAATTTTGTGTACATGTCTTTTTACACGTCTCAAGTAGTCCATCTCAAACGCAAGGGGCATAATAACTGCAAAACTATACCGGCCGGGTAACACTACCTCATACGTCTGCTCTCAACCCGCGATGAAATGTTTATGTCTGCATAGTCAGTATCACTTTTTTTATATTACAGGTTGTCCATGCGAACAAGTGTGTGATCGAATCGATAGTGACTGGGTGTGTGCATGCCACATTGGCTATGAATTGACTGAAAATCAAGTAAATTGTGCAGGTGGGTCACATGATGAATAAAATATATGTAAAAATAAATATATATTTATGTGGTTAGGTTGATGTAATCCATACTCGACTCTCTGATTCTTCGCATTTCTGGATATAAATGCACTACGATTTGCTACATACATGAACACGTGTTTACCAATGTTACGTTACACAGATATTGACGAATGTGAAACTGACAACGGTGGCTGTGAACAAAATTGCACCAACACAATAGGGTCATATTATTGTTTTTGCCAAGAAGGCATGATTGTCCAGGAAGACGGTTTATCCTGTAACTATGACTACGACGAGGTACTGAGAAAGTCGTTGTTGTTTTACGAAGCCCAGCGTTCCGGCGTTCTGCCGGACAACAACCGCATTCTTTGGAGAGGGGACAGCGCCGTCAACGACGCCACACCCGATGGCAAAGACTTGAGCGGCGGATACTATGACGGTAAGGTCAACCTAAGCCCCAGACATGGTCACTTGTTTATGTACACGTATTGGAACTGAATAGTATACATATGTCTAATGATTTGTGATTTGTGTATTGCGTGACTTTTATTATATATGTACATCTGTCACGTTAACGCCATGTGTTACAACGTGCCGTAATTTTGCGGTATTTTACGGGGTATTTTTATCCTACCATAAAAGAAAATGGGAATTCCAAATATGGAATAATTACGCGCGTAAGCGTCCTCTAATAATAAAAACAAACATGGCTGCCACCAGGATTTGACCGGACTCCGTAGAAAGAAGTTCGCCCCTGTACTGTCTTCGTGCATACTTTGAGGTATTCCGTAATAAACTAATAGTATCGGAAGTTATTTTTTTATTAATATAACAGGATAACTTGCGTTTATCTGGCTGGCGTTAAAGGGGCGGTGGTCGTCGCGTCATGTCCCGTTCGATATGGGAATCATTCCTACGTACGCAACGCGCGTAAAATACTTTGTTTATTTACATAACATTCGAACACACGCTGCGAGACAACCACCTTTGTATATGTATACCAATTTGTATATGTATATTTATCATAAATTTCGATCTACAGCGCCGCCACAGTTTACAGTATAGAAACACAGAACAATCAATACGCTTCAACGATGAAAAAGGTTGTGAAAAATAAACAGATTATGAGAAGTCTTACATTATATATTTCGTAGCTGGTGACCACTTGAAGCTCGGTTTACCGATGGCGTACAGTGCTACAGTCTTAGCATGGGGGTTCATTCAATTTGAAGACGCGTACGAAGCCGCTGGCGAGGTTGACCACATGCTGGAAAATCTGAGATGGTTCGCTGACTATTTTAAAAAATGTCACACACAAGAACACGAATTTTATGCGCATGTGAGTATTTTCTTTATTTGAAAAAAAACGTAAATTGTCACTAATCTCTGTTTCAGATAGTTCGGTTTCTTTTAATTAGCTTTAAAAAAAGGCGTATAGGCAACATTTTGTGACTTAATATCTCGAGACATAAAACTTAACTTGAGTTGCAACACACTTTGTTTTATCCAGGTTGGATCAGTGAATGGAGATCATGGTTATTGGGGACGCGCTGAAGACATGACAATGGATAGGCCTGCATATAAAGTAGATGAAGACAATCCAGGGTCCGATGTTGTTGGCGGAACAGCCGCTGCACTGGCAGCTATTGCCTTTGTTTTCAAAGACAGAGGCAAGTAATTTAACAAACTGGCATGTCCCGCAAACACACAATTAAGTCTAAATAAAGTCGTCTTTCAAGGTAGCTGGCTTTTCAAAGCGCCACTATTATGTTAATGACAGATAATGGCATAGTGGAACAGTATGCAATTGTATTAAAAGGCTAAGCATCAATAGAAACCAGTCGTCATTACCTGACGTAAACTTACCAAGTTGTTTTACGTTTACCATCAAGTCTCTTCGTTATATACCAGACGCGGGCTATTCTGAGACCTTACTGTATCATGCCAGAGAACTCTTCCTTTTTGCTGATGACTTCAGAGAGAAATATTCCACCAGTATACCCGAGGCTGCTAAAGTATACGAGTAAGTAAATGATTTGAAATTATTTGATTAATGCGCTGATGTATCGTCTTAACCATTATGTATAGCGTGTACATAGTACTGAGCAATACAATTGTAAGAATAGACTGGCAGTGAGTTTGTTTTTTCGGTGAGCTAATAACATTACATTTCTATGGACGGTTGTTGTTTGAATGACATTCACTTGAAGTCACATTGAGCAGCACGCTTTCCTAAAATAGGCAGTGAAATGATGTTTGTTTCCTAAATGTACTTCAATGACTCGTCTAGCGGCCACTTTTCGTAATCGTATAATCTGCAATTTCAATGCAATCGACATGATGCATCAATCATCACGAAGTTCAGCATAATGGTCGATCGACCACGTATTGCAGCATTCTGCTTCAACCCCATAAGCCCCTCCGCACCAATTGCGAAAAATAGTCCCATCGAAATTCCTGAGGTAATTTTAAATTTCACGGTCTATCCGCATTATAAATAAATATTCATCGGTAATCCATACGTGTGTGACGCCATCCTGCACTCATGACTCTTCGTATAGCTGTATTTTCCCTCGCATGTGACTGGAAAGAAATACTGTACTGTAATGCTGTACTAGTAGCCGCTCGTCCGTATTGACGGCGCATTCTTTTGGAAAACCGAGGGATTATGTAAACATACTTAATTATTTTCTTGATGTGTTTTTCATCAATGTGTTAACATACGTTTACTGTCTCATTTTTCAAGTTCAAGGTTTTAAAGTGATCTTGCAGGTTCCGTGGCGCATATTCTTACAAATGCCATTCTAACAAAACATTAAGTATATACTAGTAATGTCGAATCAAAAATAAATATTTACTAACACTTTCATCACTTGTGTTTTCAGCTCCAGTGGTTACATAGACGAGATCATTTGGGCTGCGTGCTGGCTGTATAAGGCCACAAACGAAACGTTCTATCTAAACCGGGCCATTGTTCTCTACAACAACACCCCATTCAATAGACCTTACTCGTTTGGATGGAATGACGTAACGGTTGGATATAGGGTACGTGGTACTGAAATGTACATATATCGAACCGAAAAATGTAGACATCTTGTGTCATAATCATGTTGATGATTTATCTTACATAAATGTCAAGCGATAGACCACATCATCGTGAGACAATTATTAAAATATCTGTCTCCCATGATCCTGTTACGGCTAACAGGTGTCTGTTTGCGATGTGCTAATTACCTGTGTTGTTTTCTCTCATTGTATTGTGCACATACAGTTAATGTTGTTATATTTGACTGGAGATACCAATCTCTACAAATCCGGCATAACGACCAAGTTTCTAAGTGAATGGCTACCGGGAGGTAGCATGCCGTATACACCGAAAGGTCTAGTGTTCCGCGACAAGTGGGGCTCGCTGCGATATGCCAGTAAGTTCAGCCATTCATCGTCTTTGTTCCTAGGGTCCAGGGTTTTTATTTCTAACATCACTGTGTGTTAAGTACTCTTAAACATTTTGGAACCCAATCTACCTGCGCTGGTTTTATTTTCAGTTCAGTTCAGTTATAACGTGTTTATTTTACTTATCACACGTCATGTATTACTGTATAATGTTTAAATCGGAGCTATAATAATCCATAGTTATTGTTCATATTATTGAAAAACAGTTATTAGCCAATGGTTTGTTATCTTATTCACAGCCGCTGCCGCATTTATCGCACTGGTTACTGCCGAAGCTGGAGTCAGAACGCCGGCTTATAGAGACTGGGCGAAATCCCAGATTCATTATGTTTTAGGCGATACCGGAAGAAGTTTTGTAGTAGGATATGGTGTGAACCCACCTGTCCAACCACACCACAGAGGATCGTAAGTTCACGTATTTTTCCACATAAAATAATTTTAATTTTTGTGTGTAATATACACCCAGGAAAATATACTAGAGGTAGAAGTAGATGTATATTTATTTTAGTACAATGTAGGAGAGATCGTTCTTATTGTTGGACCTGTTCGGATCAATCAGAAATTAACTGCTCATAACCTCATTACTGTAATTATATTCTGCAGTTCGTGTCCCAATAGACCAGCTGCTTGCAGCACGCCATACTTAAGTTTAGCAGCTCCGAATCCCCAAGTACTATATGGTGCGTTGGTTGGTGGACCGGATGAAACCGACCACTACAGGGACATGAGGCAGGATTACTTCGCAAATGAGGTGACATTAGATTATAACGCGGGATTTCAGTCAGCCGTGGCAGGTAAACTACGCGGTCTTATTTCAAATCCCATATATGTCTGATTTAGAATGATCTTTCTGTCTATCTGAAAACAAAGATACTGTATATTTGTTCATCTTCGTTACAGGACTGCGCCACCTACAGTTGATAGGAGTGTTGTAAATCTGGAAAGGCGGAATGTGGTGATATAAGTTATGGCGCAATTTGGCAACATCACTAGAAGCCTGTGAATATTGACAGAACCTAGTGTAATAAAACATGGCGATGTGATTATTATTATTATTATTGTTATTATTGTTATTATTTGAATCTTAGCAGAAATACATGAATGGTACGCTATAAAATAGAAACATACGTCCTCTTTCATGACTGTTAGCTGAATACCAAGGTCGATCAAAGTGGTAATGGTCAATGCGAGGTTAACTCGTCCGCAAAATATCCCGGATGTTCTTCATAAGAGCCACGTATTGTGCTCCCGTTGAAGTGGATCTAAGTTTAAAAAAACAGCTTTAAGTTGTTTTGTCTTTTTACCCCGTCGTCCATACCAGAGATGGATTTCAAATATACATATCATCGATAAGCCCATAAGTATGAAAAGCTTTAAATTTCAAACAAATAACTACATATTACACTGTATATCAAATGTGAAAAGAAGTGAAAATAACGCGTAATGTACATGTCCTAAACGTTACTAATACTAGTGCTTGGTTATACTTTTATTCGAATTATATCCAAGCATATATTTAGACTAGATAAGTTTTCCTACTATTGCTAGTATTAGACTTGTGTATTTGTCTAGAGTACTAGTGTTATGGACGGGACTTCCGTGCGGGTGAGTTTGTGCATGCATGGTATTTTACTGAAGTCATAGAAACAGTCAATCAGTAGTGACACAGAAATCTGTGCCGTAATTGCATAGCGATTCAGCGGGCCATTCTTGGGTGTACTCGGAGTGGATTCAGGGAAAATACGTATTTAGAGCAACGGTTTATTATAACTAACAACAAAACGCTATTTAGACTCAGTAACTGTCGAATATTTTGAGGTTTAATTGCTCATAATAAAATTATAGCCTTTTCATTACTTCCGCGTGTTTTTATGACGCCATTACTTGGGGTGATTTATGATAATGATCCCGATATTGAACTTCGGGCCGAAGGCTATCAAAGCTGTGTACGGAAGTGAATAACTATTTAAAAGCTGGCCAATGATGCTTCAAATAATGTTACTGTAGAACAACATTCTCAGGAGGCCGTGGCAATACGTCGCTGGTATACAGTTTTCGGTGTCAACTACAGCTCAACGTAAGACACTGAATCTAACAAAGCAGCATAGTCACAGTAGTAAACTCAAATGACGTCAATCGTTGACGCTGAATTACATTGAAATGTACAATACACTCACCTCACCGTTGGCGACGTAGGTGGCGACTACAGTATATAACAAAACATAACCATGTGATATCATACCATGGAGCGATACATAATGAAGATTACACCATTTATGACACTTTGTATTGAAAGTAAAAAAAATATCAGCTCACTTTTCCCAACACATTTCTATTAGTAGCGGGTTCGGCTTTTTTTTTGGTAAATTTTAACAGCTCAATCAACAAAAACTATTTTATATGCCTTGTCCTCAGACGCCAATATACTAACGAACTGTTGTGTTTTTCGCAAACAATCGTGGGGACGCTTTCTCCTACAGCTAATTTCGTACGTATTTCATTGCTAAACACTGATCGCGAACTATTTTATTTTATTTTATTGTTTTAATGGAACTGCGTTTTATTAACACCATTACTTCGGATAATTTGCGATAATGGAACCTGGCATTGGACATACGTATACCAATGCTTTACTAGAAGATATATATTTAGTATCAAATTTCTGAACTCTCTATCTAAGTGAAAACAATGCAGATAAAAGAATACAAAGAAGAAATATCTTATTACAATGATTCACCCGTGTCGTAACATAAAACACAAATCGTTTCATCACGCCGTTGCCGCGCCTTCTTTCTCTTTCAATTAGGATTGAACGCAACGTCAGATAATGTCTATAATCCTCCTGAGATGGACACTATATTGCATTGAAATATAAGTACAATAGAGCACCTCACTTATTGTACGTAAAGTGGGTGTCAATCACATTATACAAGTAGAGAATATAACTACGGGGTATAAAATTAATCCTTAAAAGTGAATAAACGCCGATTTAAGGTACTAGTAGTTGTCCAGTTTACTTCATTCTGTCATTCTATCGGATGTACGTGTCTTGAAATATATTCAATTTGCTCCAAAGAAAGCGATAACAAGACTCGGAGTTTACAAACGAGAGTATTCATTTTAATAAAAAAAAGTAACCAAATTCAATTGTTTAATCCAGAAAAGCAGGTAATTTGTATCATCTTGATGAAACTATCTTTTGATCAATAGCAAAGCATCTAAAAAGTTTTAAATTAAAATGTTTGAAAATAGCTTGCTGAAAACAATTATTGTATTGTATATAAACATGTGATTTAATGTTGTCACCTAAAATTGGTCTGTTTTAAATGCTAATTAAATTTTAAATAATTAGAGTAGGCGAATTGATTTTGAGCTATTGTAAAAGGATTAATTATTCACTGGGTTTGTATTTTGCCTTTTTCGCTGACTGGAAAAAGCGCTAAATTAAAACCCAGTGAATGTGTAAAATTTAGCATAGAACACAATGATTTAACCGTGAATTTAAAAACCCATCGAATATGCCTGAAATGTTGAATCAGGAGAAATTAAACACAGTAAAAACAAGGCATTTTACAGTATACTGAACATCGTTGTCGGATACCTATATTTATCATTTCTGACTCATATATTTGAATAAAAACGATAGTTTATTTAACGGATTAACGGAGACCTGATACCACTGTACTCCTTCGGATACAGTAACACAATACAAGTGTATTCACTTCCCGTTGCTATTGTAACAAATGTTACCCACTGACAACACTCATAGTTCAACATATCTACAAATTATATTCATTGCATGGTTATTATGGACACTATAATTATAAGTGATATTTGGTTGCTATGACAATCAATAATGCCATGTAAATCAATTTGGCAACGATTAAAATGCATTTGCACTTGGTATTTGGTCCAGTGATCAGTTCCACACCTTGATAGATTCCTGTTATAAGTGACGCGCCAATGAGGATTGACAACTAGTTGTTTTACTCTGTTTTTTTTCAGAATTTAGAATACGACAATGTGAACTTGGGCGTGAATGTCATTTCACTTTGTTTTATTTAGTGTTAACACCGTATTATATTCTATGGTGTGAACGTTATTATCCCGTTACGTACATCAAAATATATGATGTAGTTTGCAAGTCTCCAAGACAGCGATTCATCTATGCATATTGACGTTCGTTCACATTCTCTTCATGTAACTCCATTTACATTGTCAAAGTGCCAACATAATAACACTTCCCCAATGGCTCTATAGTCGACTAAACTATTACTTTGTGTCCCGTAATGCGCACTTTATTTCATACAATGTGTTCCCAAGCTCAATACAGACCACCGGGATCTAAATTATTTTCTAAATATTGTATACAATAATCCGATTATGATTGAAGAATTGTGTCTCCGCGAATGACTGGTAATTATTTTAATAAATCTCACCCGGTAACGATTCTAAAGATTTAAATACGGCATTCAAACAGTGATTGAAGAACATTATGTGCGTGTCGCAACGACATTTACAGTTAAAGATGTATTGTCGTCTGAACTTATACTGAACTCTGAGCGCATGCTCTGTCTAGACGTCGACGTAGGTGACATTACACGCCGCCGTCCCGACGAGAAAAACGGTAAGTTTCTACTTCTCTATCAAAATTATCTTTCTGCACTCTCATAAAATAGAAACAAAATCATGATATTAATTGAGTTGTTATTTTCTTCGCAATGTTAATATGTTACGTCTAGTTTCATCGTTAAGTGACGTAATACATAAAACGTGTGTTTGACATGCCGCCTTCCGCCGTATTTGTTGCGTATATAGGTACAGCAGGGTTATTTGCACAGAAGAAAACATTTCCGTAATTTTAAGTTGCGAACAATTGTAATAACGGAACATTTTGTACGCTGATTAGAAATTACCCTACGCGAGACAACGTACAAATAACTGTAGTTACCAAGGAATACTGAGCCTTAGCTTTCTTTTTATCTTGCCAAAATAACCGTGATGAGTTTAAACGATCGGATTATTTAAACTTCCAAAACCGATGAAATTTTAGTGGAAATGTTTTAAATAAATATAATACAAATTACTTGAGTTGTGTTCGCTTTAAGTTGGAAAAAAAACCAAAGTAGTTGTTTGGACAAAACATTTGTTTTATTTGTCGTATAGGTGGTTTATTAGTATCAAATTGTGGTCGGTTTGAGCATATCGTAATTACCGTATGTTGTGTTACTATGCAGTATAACTACGTCATGCCAATGGTGGATGACATTTATTTAAATGGAAAGAACGAAAATGTATCGAGTTTTATACATATGTAATATATTACATAAAACTTACTAGACTCTTTGAAGTACGCATCTTTTGTAATAAGTCTCTTTCGGGGAAATTGTGTTAAAAAACTTATATAATTAGCTTAGTGTACTACTCCACTACAAATATATTTTCAAGCGGTACAAACTTTTGGCAGGATTTTTTATAGAATCAATCATCCTTCGGTTAAAATGTTATTGTCTCGCATACCCTGGTGTGGGATGGGGCGGTAATATTTAATGACGATATCTAAAATGTCGTTCTATTATCCACCAAACTTATATAAATTTTAGATAACAACATTCATTCAACGATTGGATAAGTTACTTATAAGCTCGAAAAACCAAAAACTATATAAATAGTATCTATGACGTATGTGGTACGTTCGCCGAATAAGTTTTAAAACGTGGTGGTCGTCGCGCAGTGCGTGTTCGACTTTCATGTAAATAAACGATGTATTTTACACGCGTTGTATACGTCGCTATGAGTCCCATATCGAGAAGGACGCGGCGCGAGGACCACCGCACTTTAACATCATTCAGTGATTTATACATATCCTCTAAGACAGAATTGTAACCATGACCTAGATTCAAAATACATTGATATGTCATGTCACTGTAATCGTCAGTGGCAGGTCTGCATGTGGCGAAGACTTGTCTGCGCGGATAAGTGCATTTAGTATCTCCAAAGAAGAATTGCAATTGACAAAGAACCCCATGCATTGAAGTGCATAAAGCTGGACCATGCTAATGATGCTAGCTGTGCAAACTTTTTATATACTCTCTATTATCCGCGTAAGTAATTACGCATTCACTCACATATACCTTTATGAAATGTACTACGAATTGTCCACGCCCTTGTCAGCGTGAATCAGCGTTTCTTTTTTTATCGTCTGTTCAGGGCTCGGTTGGTATATCGATTCCAAGATGTATGCAACATTGGGTGAAAATACAAAGCTGGTATAATTACTGTTGAATGCATTATACTGTGAGAAACGTTTTGGATCAAAATGTTTTTAAAGCTCAAGTACCAACAGTACAAAATGTATATGTAGGAAGATATTAAATTTGGTGATGAAAATCCCTATTTACAAATTCGGCTTAGAAAACTATTAATCCCTAGCAAAACTTTATTAGGACGTAATGAATGTCGATACACAAGAACGACTGTTCTTTATAAATCACCTAGCTCGCTTGAAAATTTCGAGATCAATAAATTAAATCAAATCTTACACTGTTACCGATATAAACACCACAAGTATTGATACGTGTGTTTGTGTAAACTTTTCTGTATATAAACGAATACGCCAATTTCAATAGATATACAGTAAGCTGAACTTGAACAAACCACGAATTTATTGTTTCGGGTCACCTTACACTGATCCACGTTCGGTACAGGTCTAGTACGTCGTTGATCAGATTACGAGTTATAGTAAAAATCAACCTTGCACGACGTTGTACAGTTCTGTGATGTTTAACTGTGCTGACAGCGGTGTCTTAAAAACAGTTCGGGGTAGCCTTTAGGTCAGTTGTATGATGTTGTTAATTCATGTAGTACTCGGTAAGTTATGTCTATCGTATGAATTCATAGCTAGTGTAAATGAGACGGAGAAATAATTAGAACGATTTATGCAAACAAACAACAGCATATGATCTCGCCATGGTTCGTATATGTACTATCGCCCACCGTGGAGTTCTGGTCGTTTGATGAAATATACAACTGTAAAATACTTTGATAAGATCACGGATACGCTTTATTTGCAGTAGTGAACTCTGTTTTCACACGTACTTCAAATATTTTCATAGTCGATTTTTTTCAAAGGAAATCAAATCTACGTCGACCGGCCTGAGGCATGTGCTTATGTGATTACTAACGTATACATAGAAAACAACGCAAAATAGTTATGCCGTGAATTGTGTATTCGCAACTGTCTAACATTCTGTGTACTACGTCAATTTGTCTGCAAATAGGTGCAGTAGCATGCCTGGAGCAATTGACGCTCATTAATTATTCATACGTTACGGTACCGATAGCCGATAGTACGCCAGTGTTTTAGCAGGCGTAATTGTTGGAATTCGTTTAATTGCTTGTGATAAATATGAAACATTTTTACAAATTGTGATTTTTTGTGTGGCTTAAATGGCTCGAATTGTGCGAGACGTTTGAAGATTAGATGCCTTTGTGTTCTAAAAGCGTTACTGATAGGGAATCTGTTGAAAGGTGGGACGCGACAAAGTTGCACGCCCTTTATTCAGTTTCTATTATCTTGATGTGTCATTATTTGTTATTTGCTACCGATTAAATATAATCATATGGCTGCTTTCTTTACCACACGGACTTCCAACATCCTTTAGTTTTCTTTCTATCGTTGCATGACAAAATAACGCATAAACAGTAATCAGCACAGTTACAGCCATGATGAGAACACAGTGAACATAGATGTAGCTCCAGTCACTCTGTTGAGAACAAAAAATCCCTTAACGTCGAAATATATAATGTCTGCAAAAGTGAATCAAATTACGCCGGCAGTAAACGGTTTGAGGCTGTCGAAAACAACTAACTGGCGATCTAATGGAGTCTCACCGAAAGCGGAGAGTGCTGACTCCAAAGATGGGAACATGGATGTGGAGAATCAGAAATCAAAGAATCCAGAAACGGTATGAATGTGTTATTTAATTTAAGTATTTATCTCAATGTCTTGTTTATGTATTATATGTTGACCCATTGTTATATGTGTTTAATATGTTTGCTAAAACACTTATCTAATCGATCGCCGGTTGTGTAGTGGTTGATGCACTCTATCCATGTTCAGTTGACCCGAATCGCGTTTCGAATTTCGCAAGTCGATCGCTTGCCCTGTGTCATTTCTACAGACTCAACGGGAACGTAAACACATCTAGTCAAGATCAATTCATTGAATTTTTAAGTTAATTAATTTAATAATGATCTGCTGGTAAAAAAAAAGTACTGGTGTTCTTAACGGCCTGATTAACGCTGACAGTGCTCGGTCCGATGGCGTAGTCGCTGTTTTTGTAGCAAAACATATACACTATTATATAACATAAACACAAGCACTTGTACTTCGTAAATAGATATAACTATGGCATGTAATAAACCCATATTTTTTTTTAAATGTACATGTGATTGCGACATCGTTGGTTGACATTCTAGAACACCTTAGTTTGTAGCTTGCCGATTTGCAATTGAATTCATCACTACATGGAGAATTTCAAAATCTGTAAATATGTTGCTTTATTGGTGCTTCTACACAACTATATGCAATGTTAAGCCACTATGTTGCTGCCATGTATATTAATCTGCGCCATACAACATGTCACTAACGTATTCACGGTGTTTGTGTGTGTATCCACTTTACGAAATATCTGTCATCATGTATACCTTGGGTCCCGTGCATTATTCTCTCGCTGATTTGAACAAGATGTGTAATGTATTATCTATGTACGTCTGTTGTAGTTTGTATTATAGTCATGAATTTGTGTTTCTTTGTGCGACTTTTGATTATTGATATACTGTTCTCTAATTATCGACATAGATTGCGAGCAAACGCCAAACATCCCATCATTACCACTTTTATAGACACAATAACCCGTGTTAAGTGGCATTCTTTTCGAGGGCAATGTGGTCATGTGAAAGTCGCAATGGCACGTTTATAGTGCTCGATAAAATTTGTAGTGTTGGTAATTAGAACCACGAAATATAGTTATCACAGATCTACAATCACACATAGCGAGTATTAAGTATTAAATCACATTATGTATGCACAAATTATTACAATGAAGACTGAGGGCATTGCCATGCATAGGTATTTTGAGTGTTCTACTAAAATGAAAGTAACCATATGCCGACAACATGTATCCCATCCAGAACATAAACTTGTATCACGATGTAACTCACAGACATATGTGCAACCCCACGAATACCAGTTTAAGCTCGCCAAGTAATGGTCATTCGATAGCCGCTAAGTTTGTACATGAAAAGTCATACTATCTAATTTGCATATTATTCGCCTTAATACTGACGGTAACATCGATATTTCTCGTCATATATTAAGTTAATCTAACTTTAAGATCTAGTCTTGGTGATGTCCATTGCACATATTCATTACATTGACAGTTATAACTAAGCTGGACTTTTCCGTAATTTATTGTCATTGTGTTTAATAGACCATTTTCCGTTCACTGCGAGAATCACGCGTTATACGCGTCAAACATCGCGTGGGATTCGACAAACGCGAAAGTATTTGGGGGGACATTCCCATGCTTAATAATGTGCTGTCCACATTTGATGATAGGCAATTTCGATTAAGTGAGGGTATTCGGAAGCAATATTCCTCTGTCGAAGATCGGCCGGTCAATGTAAGCTACGAAATAAAGAAATTCTAGTTCAAAATCAAATCGTTCGATTTTTGCGGCAGACGTTCGACGCGCGTCTTTCATGCATCTCGCGAGATCTCGCAATTGTACGAAAATCACCTATTTAACGACCAACGCGACCCATATTACATATATGGCTCGCTAAGCTACCAGAACCGAATGAATAAGAACGAACAAGTACATTGAGCCAACTTGTACTTTAAATGATCAGTACTTATTGAACAAAGAAAAACGCTGGGGGTAACTGGGGATGGATGAATGGAAGACATCTGACCGCATGACATAGTTCATTGGTAGTCACTGAGAAATTGTGAGGTATTTTAATCTCAATATACAATAAGCCTTTTTCAAATATGCGATTTGTCTGAGGTCGACATAGTTTGAAAAAAAAAACGAAGAAAATTCAACTTCCTCTCAGGCTGGCAATGGCGGGAATTGAATTGCAAAACACTCCCACGTTTAATATAGCACATTGAATTAACTATAAACGAAACGACAACTTAACAAGTGTATGTATAAAAGTAAGCTATTGTACGTGTATTTCTTTTAGTTGAGACTTTTACTGAGTGGGATAAGTAGCGACAATGACACAGCACGTTTTATGACAATGTTATTTATTGTACACTACGTTTACTCAGGCCAGACATCATAAAACACGAATCAAAACCAACGTTACATCCCTCTATAATCCTCTTAAAAAGAACGCTTTTGTGCATGCAGGATGTAGTTTTCTAATTCCATTGTTCAGCAATGGCTTACGCCACAATGCAAGTACATTGTTAATGTTTTTATAAAGAAAAAAGAATTCTACAAGTCAAGGTGTTTACATTTGTGGGGACGGGATGCTAGCAAACGAACAAGAACGAACTCATTATATCGCTTGTGTACATATTTGTTCTGGACTTTTTAACCAGTAGCCCACGTACAAATACGTCGTAATTGCAAGAAAAACATTTCTACATATACGTAACGCGATGCTTCATTACAGAGCGTTCTCGAAAGAGATTATCTCTAAGTTTAGACTGAATGGAGGTTGTACTCTACCCGATACTTACAAAGTATCAAATCCAACCACATCATTATTTTTTTAAAGTAACTAATTATCAATTATTTCATAGTATACAAGTATTTGTGTATTGAAACGTTAATGATTCCATAAACATACTGTTCTTTTTCAAATCATCATCGTCATCGTCACTATGCTTCACACACGCGCACGTTCTGTATGTAGGTGCGTCCATGGAAGGTACTAACAGACATGGTGCGTCGCAGTGTTGATGAGTTGTTTCCTTTTCCATCTTTGGCGATAAGCACGCTTACTTATTACGTTCCGGCGAATATTTTATCTCGGTGTGTTTTTTTTTACCCCCAGAGAGACGATACTAGCGAAATGAAAGACAACTTATCTAGAACGAGGAAAATAGTTATCGGTGCCGTGTCAGCTTTTGTCATTGCTACCTTAATTGTGGGCTTAGGCGTGGGACTCGGTAATGAGATTTTATTATATAAACACTGATTTTATTATAATAAGTTACAAGTGGAACGCAGAATATATGGACAGCGAACTTGTGCAGTATGTTATGGCAACGATCAATTACGTAAATCACCATTATTCTTTTTCCATTATTAGGCACAAAAAATGGCAACGCTACAAGTGGAAATGCAACATGCCCTTGCGATCAAATATGCACTGTTCACACGGACGGCTACATTTGCTCATGTGGGGACGGTTACGTCTTGGATGCAGACGGGGTAGCTTGCACAGACGAGTCCAGTGAGAATCAAAACTGTCCCTGTGATCACATATGTAACTGGAATGGAAACGAAAACACGTGTTCGTGTAACGACGGCTTCTTATTGGACGCCGACGGAACGAGCTGCTATGAAGTGAGTACGATTGAGAGTAAATACTGTCCCTGTGATCAGGTATGTGATTGGAATGGCGATAACTACACGTGTTCCTGTGAGAATGGTTACGGCTTCGACACTGATGGCGAAACCTGTATTGGTATGTATATACAAGAAATAGCGTAACAATTTGATTCGACAACCTGTAGAGTTACTCTGATCTATTTGAAATATCTGGGGGGGGGGGTAATTTTATGGTTTATGACTTTAGTTGTGTTATACATTATATGTACTAATGTATCAGATAGGCCATGCAAGTACTTGCCGGTAACAAAAGAACACTTTTAATAGAATTGTTATAAACTGTTTTTTTTCGGCACCCAGATTGTCCGTGCCTACAACTGTGTGATAGAACCGATGGCGGTGACTGGGTGTGTTCATGTCGCAGTGGATTTCAAGAGTCTGGCCAAAATTGCGTTGGTAAGGTCATATTAAATACCACTCGGATATCTCCTATTTATGCAAGTTGGGAAATCCCCACACATGTACTCTAAGGTCATGTTCGCCCTTTTTCTTCACAGATATTGACGAATGTGAAACTGACAACGGTGGCTGTGAACAACATTGCACTAACACAGAAGGGTCATATTATTGTTATTGTCAAGAAGGCATGATTGTCCAGGAAGACGGTTTATCGTGTAACTATGACTACGACGAGGTACTGAGAAAGTCGTTGTTATTTTACGAAGCCCAGCGTTCCGGTGTGCTACCGGCCAACAACCGCGTTCCATGGAGAGGGGACAGCGCCGTCGACGACGCAACGCCGAATGGCGAAGACTTGAGCGGTGGCTACTACGACGGTATGTTGTCCGTCACCATAGTTACTACAACACACGAAACAACAATGGCAAAGTGGTTCAGATAGAGATAATGCATGTGCACTAATTAAAATATACCAACATATAATGTAAAATTATCTACAGGTTATAGAGTTATGAATCAAACTTATGACAAGTACATCTTGAACCAGCCACAGTCAGCTGGTGTACGAGTGATAAATATACCTACTTTAACTAGGTTTAATAACACAATGCGCCAATTGTTATGAGTATTCCGGAAATCCAGTTCTGAATATATACAATTCTGAGGCACTTTTTACTATTTCATTCGCCAATGAAAATGTTATGTTACGAGAAGAAAATCGTAATTTGTAAATGTTTGTTTTTTGCAACATTTCGGGTGTCATTAAGTCGTAACAGTATGTTTTGACGGGCGTTCAAGTTCTCGACCGATTCAATAATGGAAACGCATCTACAATTTGTCTGCGGTAGTATCAACTGATGACTGAATGCTATTGTGTCTTATTTTATATAGCCGGTGATAATTTAAAACTCGGTTTACCCATGGCGTATAGCGCCACTGTGCTTGCATGGGGTTTCATCGACTTCGAGGATGCGTACGAGGCAGCGGGTGAAGTTGATAACATGCTGGCCTGTCTGAAATGGTTCTCAGATTATTTTATCAAATGTCACACACAAGAACACGAGTTGTATGCACATGTAAGTATTTTTCAAAAACTGTATGCACAACACTCCTGTAACAATTAGCAACATGACATTCTGTGAGAAAACACACTTGCTACATTAAATTTGATCAGGTGTACCGTAGCCTGTCGTTGACTACCGGACATGCACATATTCAATTAAATAACGTTATTGTATGGTTCAGGTTGGATCAGTTGATGCTGACCACGGATCATGGGTGCGCCCGGAGGACATGACAATGGAGAGGCCTGCATATAAGGTAGACGAAGAAAACCCAGGGTCCGACGTGGCGGGTGGAACCGCAGCGGCCATGGCGGCTATTGCTTTTGTTTTTAAGGACAGAGGCAAGTGAGCGACATTTTTAGCCAAAATCGATTTCTTTGTATACGTAGATGATTTTCTCCATGGCGACTCGGTTACAGCATCTTTTATATCGGTTTTGATTTTTAATATACGTTTATTTGTTTGTGATGTCATATTTAACCCAGATTGTTTATGCTTTTTTTGTGAACTAGATGCAAGTTATTCGGCGACACTAATTGCACATGCCAGAGAGCTTTTTACCTTTGCGAATGACTTCAGAGGGTTGTATTCTACTAGTATACCGGATGCTGCCAAAGTCTACGAGTAAGTGTTACTTACTGTATGTTTAATTATCAGGGCATTACGCTAACCAAAAACAAATAGATGTAGACATTAAGGGTACATTAGACAACGGGAATAACAAGACTGTACATTGAACCAAAGTAAGAAGGTTAAAGGGCAGCAGTCGTCGTGTCGCGTCCTGTTCGATATGGGACTCATAGCGACGTAGACAACGCGTGTAAAATACATTGTTTATTTACATGAAATTCGAACACGCGCTGCGCGACGACCACTGCGTTTTAAGTTTTGTCATTACATGTATTGATTTCCCCCAAAAAACATTGCAATGCACCGGGACGATTTACTGATGTGTCAACACATTAGCATAATCATTTCATACGAGCCAGAAATGAACATGATACTTAACTCAGCATACGCGAGAGACCGACTGACCCCTATACTATGTGAATGTACGTAATCATGACTTTATATATATTACAAGAACAAATGCCATTATTTGCAGTAACGAAAGATTCTAATTTTTCACTTGATTACCGTCACGAAGTAGTTTAATTCTAAATACAAGCTCATAAAATTCCACCCAAGTTTTTTTTCTGGCAACAAGTATCTGAAAAATTAGTGATCTGGTCACTGTTCATCGAAATCCGATTCACTTACAGCTGCAGTGTGTCGTATCTTTTATATAACCACTTCGGTAAAACTTACAAACAATTGGTGCGTCGCAGTAACCTCGAGCTCACAATCGAACATGATATGCTTACGTGTTTGATAATGGATTGCACCCTTGACTTATAGTGAGAGGTATGAATTGCCGTAAGCGAGGCACTGTGATGCAATGTTTCACTGTTAGCAGATAGAAAGTCGGGACTTTATGGTAATTTGTAACCATGAATGACATAACACTTGTTGTATGCCAAATAACGAATAATTGTGTAAGAGTTAGGAATTACTTATAAACGCGTCAATTTACAGGTCAGAGAAAAAAATCTAGGCAATGGTGATTACACTTACTTTGTTAATACACCCGATGCCTGTGTGCACGTACTTGGCAAGTATATAATATCTACGTGCTGGCCATGAATTTCTGGCATTTTTGTCAACGATACAATAAAAGACAATATCTAAAATTCACTTGTTAAATCAGTAAAATTTTGAGTGGATTTTTTTATGTTAATGTTGATAGAGAATCAACGTTAGAGCACTACCATATTAATACGGCGTGAAATGCACTGGAGATGGAAATATTCAGATTTTCGTTGTGAAATTGTGCTAGCATTTTTTTGTTTTTGTTTTTTATTTCATTTAACTTGTCATCTTATATTGTCAGATCAGGCGGTTTCACTGATGAGATCATCTGGGCAGCGTGCTGGTTGTATAAAGCCACAGGAGAGTCACACTACCTCGACACGGCGATATCCTTATACAATAGTGAACCCTTGGGGAAACCTTACTCATTCGGCTGGAACACAGTCACTGCCGGTTACAGAGTGAGTAACGTCTTAACCAACTTGATGAAAGCAGTACCTTTGATAGTCAAACATACATATATATATATGTAATATGAAAGTATGTGGCACCGGACTTGAGTTGTTTTGTTCGCTATCAGTTAACGACGTGTTCCTTTCACATACAAGTAGTTAGTAATAATGTCTTTTCCGTTCTCTTTTGCCAATAATTCTTATTTGAAATTAGGCACTAACATAAAAAACACGCCGGACGACATGGTGATGGTACATAATTGTGTTTGCTTGTACTTGTAGATAATGCTAATGAAATTGACAGGGGACAATGGAGAGTACAAAGTTGGCGTGACTACTAAATTCCTGTCTGATTGGTTGCCAGGTGGTACTTTGCCATACACACCAAACGGCATGGTATTTCGTGATGGATGGGGCGCACTTCGATATTCAAGTAAGTTTTTCTCCTAATTTTGCATTACACTTCGCATGTTTATGGAGAACACCTGTAGTAACTCAGGTATATAACTATTAAAACCCACCTATTTCTTCAAGTTCTCGGCCAATGAGAATGCTCTGTTTTCTCAATTCAGATATACTTGTTCTCGCATCGTGTGATAAACGTTTTAGAACGGCACATTTTATTAGGTGACAGGACTCCCACAATTCCTTAAAAAGAAACATTTTAAAATATATCCCCAAAATTAACATTGATTTAGGATTTGAGGCCATGGGTTTTAAGTCAGGTAAAGCCAGCATTCATACTCACAATCTTCTGATTATAAAGTCTCCCCCCCCCCACTAAAAAAGTATCGGCTTGGGGCTACGACATTTTATCTCGGAGTGATATAACACAGCACGTTGTAATATATTTTAAGCTAAGTTTAAGTTTTAATATATATTCAAGATTTATTTCCGCTTATTAGAGTTTATTTTAAAAAACAACCACTTTCATGCCATGGTATAGGCACTCTCACAGCTAATTACCCAACATTAGTTTGACTTTGTGATCGCGATGTAACACAGAAGAGTCCTCGTGTT